ACATGTTGGCGTCATTCGACGGCACTGGAGGCGAGGTTGGAAGCGGGCAGGGGAGGTAGAAGGCGTCGCATAAAATGAAGCGTGGGAGAAGGTGAGGATACGGGCTGCGGCTTGTCGAAGCGGGGTCGCGGTCGCCGTCACCGCAGCCGCCCTGGCCCTGGCCAGGATGGCAGTCGGCACGGTGCTAGAGCCACCCTCGCCTAAGTGGAGGGTACAAGGTCTTCTTCCTTTGGCTGTAGGGAGACCCTTCGAGACGGACCCCTGGTCACCGCCAGAGGACCGTCGCCAGCCGAAGTGGCCAATCGGTATTCATGACGTGACTGGGGGCCACTATGGGTTTCCCACGGGCAGAGGGGAGGTTTGCACCCTATTGCGGCGGTGGGTCCGTCCTTCCCGCATATTGATCCCCCCTCCCCCGCCATTCCTACCGCCCCTCCTATAGTATGTGAATGGCGGCGGCTGGGTGAGGCGAGACGCGGGAGATGTCAGCTGGCAGAGCGCGAGTGCGTGCGCATGTCGCGCGTTGCCGTAGCAGGCTCGCTGTTCAGGAGCCGCAGCCATCGTGGCCCTTGCCAGTGCCAGGATGGCCATCAGTGAGCACCCCCTGCCGTTGCCCCCAAAACTTACACAGACCCCATTCCTCCCTTCGCTAGAAGAGTGGGTCGGTGAACGTTAAAGAGCGAAAGGTGGGGGGATCGGGGGCTGCAAGAAGGTGAGCCAGGAGGGAGTGAAGGTTGAGTGGCTCCCTTTCATTGAAATTGCGCGGCACGTCGGTTAATGTAGCATACGTGGGTGAGAAAGCCACGGCGGGTATGGAAGCCTTGTGTTACCGTGGACATGTTGCATAGCATAGCGTGCTGTAGCTGTGCTCGCCGTAGTGCTATGCTGCGTGATGACCACGAAGATGCCCGTATATGAAGGATTTGCCGTCGCTTGGGATATGTGGGTAGGAAGTCGGAGAAGATGGTAGTCAGTGCGGTCAGGCTATTGCTGCTGCTGAGTGTCCAATGGGTGCGACTGCTCGGTGAAAGAGTAGTGCCGAGAAGCGGATGTAGGAAGGAACAGCTGGCCGCGGGTGGCGTCTGCAGTCGGTCTAGTGGAGCAAAACGGGTGAACATTTTGAAGGTGGATGATGCTTTGATGAGCCGCTGGTGCCTCTTTGGTTGTGGGTGATCGATGGGGAGTCTCCTGATCCTTTAGGTTGGTCGACTGGTCGAGCTGGCATGCGATTGCGAATGGTGGCCACGATTGCCATGCTGGCTCTCTGCTCCGAGCAGGGTGGCTGCGTCCATGGTGTGGGCCTCGTCTGTAGCCTGCTCAATGGCATTGTCCAGCTCCTTTCCCCCGCGGTGGGGCACGTGTCTGCTGGCAGTAGAAGGTGGTCCCCATTGGTCGATGTCGTCGGTGGGTGTCGTGTTGCTGGTGTCGGCAATCGTCCTGCGGGTTGGTACGGGCATTGTTGCGGGGGTGTTGGTAGCAGTTACCAGCCATGGGTGCGTTTCCATGTTCAAGCGTTGCGGCGAGAATCGGCAAAGTTCCGCGGCGAGGCGGTCAAGCTTGTTGATGGTGTTGGCGATGTATGCTCTTGTGGAGCGGGTGCTGCGGGTGGTGAGCCCTGGTGCGCAGGCGCAGTGGCAGCGCCGCTGTGTGAAATTCCCCAATCAGAGCTTGCCTCTGTAGGGGTCTTAGCGGATTCATCTGGTTAGGTAAGGTTCGTCGCCAATTTCGGTGGCCAGCCCAGGGGTGCGGGGGCCCGGCGGCCCGGGGGCCCGGGGGTGCCCCGGTGCACGGGTGCCCGGGGTTGCCCAGAGGTGCCCGGTGGTGCTTGGAGGTGCCCGGGGTTGCCCAGGTGCCCAGGTGCCGCAGTGCTCTATCGCCCTATAGCCCTTCTAGCCTATAGCCCTAAGAGCCTTATAGCCCTATATTCCAATAGCCCTATAGCCCTATAGCCTTATAGCCATATAGCCCTATAGCCCTATAGCCCTATAACCCTATAACCCTATAGCCCTACAGCCCTATAGCTTTGTAGCCCTATAGCCCTATAGACCTATAGCCCTATAGGCTTATAGGATTATAGCCCTACAGCCCTATAGCCCTATAGCCTTAAACAGATTATGATAGTTTTATATCCGGTATTACTGTATTCGGTTGGTCGTGCGTAGGATCGATATACGTCGCAGCTCCCCGGTTGTGTAGTCTCTGATTGTCGTTCTCGCCGTGGGCGTTGCCTGCCCGACGGTGTTGCCAGGTGGGGCGCCTCGCTGGGCCTCGATCAGCTCGTTGATCTTGCTGATGGCCATGTTGGCGGCGTTCCTCTGGAAGAGCGTGATCGCGAATGGAGCTGACTTGGAAGAGGGGTTGTAGCGTATGCCCAGCTTGATTTGCGTAATGAGGCTGCGGCGCTGTTGGGCGACTGCGGCTGGCGTCGGGAGATCGTCGCAGTCGTCGGCAATCGGGTACGCGACCATCGTGGCAAGTTGGTGATTGACGAAATAGGCGAGGAGTTGTGGACCATCGTGCACAGACGAGCTGCTGGGAATGCATCGTTGCGGAGGTAGTAGGTGAGGATGCCTCGACGTAGGTCATCAGGGCGTTTTGTTCGTGCCGCATTGCGATGTTGGCATCTCAGTCCAAGTCAGGTAGTCTCATGGCCGTTGATGCGAGAAATGGACTCAGAGACCATCCTGTGGACGTGGATATTGAAGAGATGGTTTCCTAGAAACCCCCCTGAGGCCCTGGGGCCCCTCTCCCACTCTTCCCTTATACTCCGCTGCTCTTCTGTGTGCCCGCAGCATTTGGCTTTGATCTCGTGAGTTCCTGTACCGAGCGCAGAGTACCGATACATCTCTGTTTCAGCCCCCTCTCCCGATCCCAGTGTCCGCACCGCCTCCCGAGCCCCATCGCAGTGGTAAGCGGAGCTGGTTCGAGAACCAGGTGACCAGCGAGGACGGCGACGGAGGCGATTGGCAACTGGACGAGAGACCAGGACTCCGAGATCTCGGCCCCTCGACGACCAGAGGGGCATGTTGCACGAGGCCGAGACCCAGACCGACGAAGCAGACGACCGACGATTACAAGAACGAGGGTCTGCAGAGGCAAGCACTGGCGGCTGGCGTGACACCAGCGGCTGGGGCTCAGATGAGTGGGGCGCTGGCTGGGGCTGGCGCTCTGTGAACGGGTGGTGGGACTCCGCATGGCAGTCCGACGGGAGTTGGGATTCCTGGGCCCCCCGTTCTCGAGATTTTGGATAACCGCTGGCATGGCTCGGGATGGAGCATTTAGAGCTCCATCGACTCAACCTCGCGGCGTGGTCGAAGCGAACGGGGCGCGAGCTGGTTTCTCAGGGGCCACGAGTTGTCGAGTCTCTTCCAGTGGAGCTCCAGGTCAAGTTCAATCCCATCTTCCCGACGCTCGGAGGCACGGACGGCGTGGAGCGCGTTCTGGCGCACTTCGCGATTTTGAACGGGGAGAGGCCAGGTGACCGCGAGCGGCTCTCGCACTCCCACGCGCTGTTCGACTACATGATTCGGAAGGGAGAGTCGCTCACGGACTTCGTTCTACGATGTGATCAGCAGTTGACAGATGCCGAGACGAATGGCCTCCCCCTGCCCGACAACGTGAAGTCGCGCTACCTAGAAGAAGGGGCCAACCTCTCGGCTCAGAATAAAATAAATCTTCGTGCGTTGGCGGGCGGCCGCGCGGACTCGACCTCCATCTGAGCGGCCCTGTTGCAGATGGATGTCATTGAGCAGCGAGTGTTGCCAGCGGCGCCGGCCCCAGTCGTGAAGGCCTTCGCTGAGACGGCACCTCCTCCCCCAGAGCCCTACAGCGGCTACGAGATGGACGACGGCGACGACGCGATCGAGCTGCCCGAGGACGAGGCCGAGGCCTTCCTGACGGCGATCGAGGACCAGCAGCTCGACGACGAGGAGGCGCCCCAGGTCTTCGCGGCCGTGATCGAGGAGAAGCACGGCATGGAGAAGAGACGGGCATGGACGGAGTCACGGCGACTGAAGATGGCAAGGAAGACCGATCTAGATTTCTTCGATAAGCGGAAGGCGGCCAGACCCGGATTCAGGAAGCTCGGCAAGCAGGACATCAAGCGGCGCTCTCGATGCGCCAACTGTGGCCAGAAGGGCCACTGGGCTCAGGATTGCAAGAACCCCTACGCGTCGAAGGCCGACCGGCTCGCGAAGGAGAAGGAGCAGGTCAGGAAGCCCTTCTCCGGGTTCGGCGTCTTCTTCACGAATGACGAGGACGACGCCTTCTCCGCCGTGGCCCTCGACTGGAGCTCGAAGGTGCTGGAGTTTCTGTCCAAGGATGGCAACGCGCCGACGTTCGTGACCCTGAGGGATCTCGGATCGCACGCGCTGGTGGACACGGCCGCGGCACGGGCTCTGATCGGGAAGGCGGAGCTGACACTCTCGACAAGGCTCTTCGAGCTCGAGGGTACCGCATCCACTGCGACTGGACGCCGCCGAAGGGTACCGCGGCCTCCAGGATCGGCGTCAAGGTGACCCCCACCGGGAAGGCCTGGGTGCCCGCAACGTTGGGCGGATGCGGCGTGGTGGAGTTCCTGATGTTGGGGCAGGCGTGCCCGCCGCTCCTACCGGCGAAGCTGCTCACCCACCTCCGGGGCGTGATCGACCTCCCGGGCAACGTCATGGTGGTGACCGACTCTGGCAAGCGCGTGAGGGCCCCCCTCGTGCGGCACTCGTCCGGCCACCGCTCCGTGGACTTGGTGAGGGGCCCGGCCGAGCGCTTCCAGCTGGCTCCCGAGGTCGAGGAGCGGGTGCCCGCGTCTCGCCTGCTGGCGCAGGACCGCGCCGCAGCCTGCCTCGCGCGTGCCTGCAGTCTCCCTCCTCTCTCTCTTCCCTCTGAGGCCCGGGCTCCTGCGGGTCTTGGGGGCAGCGGGCCCAACCGTGCGCTCTCGGCTCAGACCTCGGACGAGCTCGGTGGCGACTGAGGAGGCGGCAGCGCCCACGCAGGACTCAGGCAGCATGGCGCGGCCCCGTGGGGCAGCGAGCTCAGGGAGGGGATCCAAGTCGCACGGTCGTGCTTCGAAGTCCCCGGCTCCAGTCCGCAGCAAGCTTCGCGGGAGCAAATCGGTGACCTTCGACCTCGCGGCGATGCAGGGCGTGACCAAGGAGGTGACGCGGTCCGGGCCGCCGGGCGAGGACGCGAGCCTGGGCTGGGGGGAAGTCGAGGCCGCGACGGGCCCAGAGCTCGAGAACTTGCTGGATCTGGAGGCGATGTCCGAGGAGGAGCAGAGGTAGTTCAACTCGGGTCAGTCGCGCCTTGCGAAGTGCCAGCAGCACTGGAGGCGGATGATCTTGAGGGTGTTCTGGTTTCGCGACGCCTGCGCTCTGATGCCCCTGGCTACCTTCATGATGCTGGGCCCGGTCCAGGCGGGGATCTCGCCCGACGAGTGTCCGCACCCCGCTCACGCCAGATGGGAGAGCAACAACCAGCGCGGGGAGTGCGCCAAGTGCACGGCCTGCAAGGAGCGCATCTGGTACAGGCTGCTCACTGAGCAGGAGAGGATCGACAGGATGAACAAGAGGGCCTCCGCCGAGAGGCTCAAGATCGAGAAAAGGGAGAAGCAGGCCCAGCTGAAGATCAATATGCAGAAGGAGGAGGTAAAGCAGCAGGTGGCGGTCTTCGGGGAAGGGGGTCCGTGGTGCAGCTCGGCGCAGAGCTACCCAGAGCCTCCGGCTCGCTCGAGGATTCGCGCTGCCTGGGCGAGCGTCGGATACGACCACCTCCCGCTGATGGCCCAGGCCGAGGACGGCAGCTACGCGCCGTCGAAGGCCCCCCCGACGATGAAGAGCGAGCTGCGCCCCCCGCCGCCCAGGAGCGAGGCCCCGACAGCGGTCGAGACGACTGCCCCGACGCGGCCCGTGACGGCGCTCGAGACGCAGCAGGCCCTGGCGAGCCTCAACGCGACGATCGCGGCCCAGCAGACGGTCAACGACCGGACGTTCTCCCAGATCACGGACATGGTGAACCAGCAGACGGCGGCCATCGCCGAGCTGAACAGTCGCCCCTTGCGCCTGGGCGACGACGACATTCAGCGCATGGCGCTTGTGGCTCAGGGCCTGGCGGCGATCGTGCAGCCCGGAGCCCTGCTGGCCCCGCTGCCAGAGGAACCGCCCAGCGGGTGAGTAGCCCTCTAGGAGAAAGGCTGCAGGAGGTAGCAGGAGGAGGGGGTCAGTTCTCGGGGAACATCTTCGCGAAGGATCTGGGAGTTATTTTAAACCGATCCCAGGGCAAGGAAGGTTTTCGCAGGGATTCTCGAGAGATCCAGGGCTTCTGGGAAGAAGGGGCCGACCAGCCTCACTCGGGCCCCGAGCTTTGCAGTAGGGGAGGTTGGGCTCCTACGGTGCTGACCAGTCCGGAGCGGCGTAGGTTTTTTTTCTTTCTTTTCAAAGCGGTTGCTATGGAGACCGGTGGCGGGCTCGCCCCTTCGTCCTTCCTCCCCCGGAATCCCCGATGGATCGAAATCAGGGGCCCCGGAGGGGCCTGCCTGTTCTCTGGTCTCTGGTCCGCCTCAGGCACTCGGCAGATCTCGAGCGCTGTAGGACGAGAAGCGGCAGGAGAACTCATCGTCACGTTCTGGTGCGAAAAGAGGGCGAGAGAAGAGGAAGGCAAGGGAGTTCACCTTGTCGAGCGAGACCGGTTCGCAGCGGCGGCCCAAGACGGGCTACTCGAGATCGCCCCCGCGGCTCCGACGGCCCCCCGCAAGGTCCGAGAAGCTTCCGCGCGGGCCCTAGACGGCCTGGGGCTTAAGGGGGGGCGACGAGCTCGCCGCAAGATCGCCGGGATCATGGAGAAGGCTCGGAACGGCGCCCTCGCCATAGAGATGTTCAGCCCAGCTAAGGTTTGCGCGGAGCTCGAGCGCCGGGGGCTCAAGACGTCCCCGGCTTTAGACATTCTATCGGGGACAGATCTTCTCACGCCGGAGGGCCAGGCCCGGCTCTGGCGACAGCTCGACCAGGACGCCCCCCTCGTTGTGATCATGACACCTATGTGTAAAGCGTTCTCGGCCCCCCGAGTGTCTAACTGGGGCCGCGTGGGCCCCGAGCTCGAAATTTGGGAGGAAGAGAGGGGGATTCAAGCTTTTCATATGTGCCTGCAGGTGGCCGAGCATCAGATTGCGCGAGGGAAGTTCTCTGCTCTGGAGCACCCCGCCTCCGCCAGCTCTTGGAATTTGGAGGCCACTCGTCTCGTGCTCAGCCTCCCCAGGGTCGAGGGGACTAAGTTGGATCAGTGCATGCACGGCCTATCCGTGTCTGGAGAAGGTCTCTCCAAGAAGCCCACCTGCATCATGTCCAACTCCCCTCCCCTCCTTGCTCGCTGCCAGCGTCGATGCTCCGGAGATCACTCCCATGTTCACCTCGTCGGCCGCGCCAGGACCCACGCGGCGGATAAGTTCCCAAGTGAGCTGGTCGCCAGCTGGGCGTCTGGGGTGGAGGACGCGGCCTGGTTGTTTCACCGCCGCTCGAGACAGCCGGATCAATCCTACGTAGTGGAGCCAGGCAGTTCAGAGGATGGATCTCGACTGGAGTTTTCCCGTTGAAGATCCAGACCCCCCCCCCCCCCCCCCTCCGAACCGGAATCTTCCTCGGGGGCCCCGCGACCTCAGATTCCGGCCCCGGGTCCTCGTCCGGACGGGCTCTCGTCAGAGCTCAAAAAAGAAGTCGCGAGATTGCGCGCGAATCTGGGACACTCCCGGAATGAGGACTTTCTCAGAGCGCTCAGAGTTGGAGGGGCCACGGCCGAGGGTTTGACTTGGGTCAAGGATCACTTCACTTGTGATCAGCGCTCGTCTCTTTCGCGCGCCAGTGGGCGACGCAAGGCGCATCTTCCCCACGCGCATGCTTTCAACGAGATGCTCGAGCTCGATCTTTTCTACCTGGACGTGGCCGGAAAGAGCACCCCCGATCTTAATATCGTGGACCGTGGGACCTCATTTCAGCAGTGCTGTTTGCTCCTGGACGACGCGTCTAAGTCGGTGTGGGCGGGATTTTCCAGGTGGTGATTGAGGCCTTTCGGGGCCCCCGAAATGCTGATGACCGACGGCGGGGCTGAGTTCGAGGCCGTTTTCTCGCGGGGGCGCGAGCACGCGGGTATCTTTCACCACGCCATTCCCGCCAATTCGCCCCACCAAGTGAACGGCGCGGCGGATTAGTGAAGGATGCTCTGTCCAAGGCCGCCTCCGCCGTCAGCCCAGTGTCCGCCGAGGAAATGGTTTTGTTATTGTGCGAGGTGATTGCCGCCAAGAACAGGGGGTTCCGCAGAGGAGGCTTCTCCCCATCCTAGATGGTTTTCGGCCAAAGCCTTCGTTTCCCCCGGAGTTTGTTGTCTGACGACCCTCTGGACCTCGTTGGTTCCGAAGATGCGGCCCAATGGTCGGCCGACATGGATGCTGCAGCAGGAGCTTTCGCCAGGCAGCACGGGATCAGGGAAGAGGCTCGGCGCGCCCTTATGTCACTGGACGTCGAGTCCCGTTTGACCGAGGCCTCGAAGGCCCGCCTGCATTGCGATCGGGCGTTCCGCCCAGGCGACTGGGCGACTGGGCCCACGTGTACAGGCGCATCGCAGCGGCCAACAGGTCGCATTCGCTGCAGCGGGATAGGTGGACGGGGCCGGGGGTTGTTGTGCATCGAGCTGGGGGTGCCAACGGCAGCAAGGGAGGGGCCGTCTGGGTGGCCATGCGTTCCCGTCTCTTAAAGTGCACGGCCGAGCAAGTGAGGCCAACAACTCGATCGGAATCCCTGGGGGCCGAGCTGCTCGAAAGCTCTGCTTTCGTCAAGCTCCGAGAGGAAATTCGCCAGCCAGGAAAGAGGAGCGGCGCCATCGACGTTGCTGCTGAGGGCCCCCCCCCCTTTGAGGCTCACGATCTCCCCGAGGCGGCGCCGCGGACCCCTGGGGGGCCTTCCTCGAGGGCCCTTCCGGCCCAGCCCCGGGCGGGTTTGCTTCCGGGCTCGGTCCCGAAACCGAGTCGCCAGGTCTCCTTCGAGACGCGAGCCCCCTCGGCCGCGATCAGTTCGCTGCCTCCCCTCGTTGCCTCGATATCCGACGGCGAGCCGGAGCTTGCCGAGTCGCGGGGGACCTCGGAAGGTGACCCCAGGTCCGAGTCCCGGTCCGCTAGTGGGTCCTTGGATCCCCGAGGTTCCGGACCCAAGCAACCGAGGCTGACCCCAATGGAGGAATTCGCTCAGGCACCCTCGGTCCAGCAACGCGTTCGAGAGCTTGAGAGTGGCGGAGGTGTGGACCTTTGCCTGGGCCGGTGGAGTCAGCCGCCTCCGCATCAGCGACGGCCTCCTCGGTGCCCGATGTCGCGATGCCAGCCGCCTTTTTGCCGCGCCTTGGCTCAGGGCGAGACATTTCAGTTCCAGGAGCTCGCGTCAGAAGAACCGATCCCGATCGCGAAAGGGAGTCCCGGGCTCGTAGCAGGTCGCCCGACCGGGGCCCGGGACACGCGGCTTACGTGGAGTCGCTCCTGGTGGAAGGCGGCGAGCAACCAGAGGCTGGAGGAAGCAAGGGCGACTGGGCCTCCCAGGACGTTTCTCAGGACGAGTCCCTCGTAGAGAAGCTGCAGGATTAGATCGGGAAGGTTCGACTTCGCCACTTTTTTCTTAGGCGAGCCTGCTCTAGGACATGACCTGGCCAGGCTAAGAAGGTGGCTCCCCGTGGGGCCCAGGTGCGTCTCAAAGGCTTAACTCCGGAGGATCGAGAGCGTTTCGCGGCGGCGGATGCGAAGGAATGGGCCGCCATGTTGGCCATTGGAGCGGTCAAGGTCTTGTCCCCGGAAGAATCCAGGTTGGCTCGTCGTCGCCCCCCCGATCGTGTTCTCTCGTCCAGGATGGTTCGACGCCTCAAGCCGGTCGAGGGGGTGGGCTCCCTGCCAGAGCCCAAGTCCAGGTGGTGCGTTCATGGCCACCAGGATCCGGATAGTGAGTCGCTGGACGTTTATGCCCCCCACTCCCCAGTCCGAGAGTTTCCTCATGGCCCTTCAGATCGCGTGCTCCCTAGGACGGTCTCTGTCAATAGCAGACGCGAAGAACGCGTTCTGCCAGTCACAGAAGCTCGCCCGACCCCGAGGCTCGATCTATGTCGAACCCTGTTCGGGCCTCCCGATAGGCCCCGATTGTTTGATCGAGCTGGTGGCGCCCGTATATGGGCTCAACGATGCCCCGTTGTTGTGGCGCCGAACGCTGACTGACTGGCTCGCTTTCGAGGGTTTCGTGCGTTCGCTCCTGGAGCCGTGCCTGTGGCTGAAGCGTGATTGCTTGAGTGCCCTGGAGGGCTTCGTGCTGATCGAAGTTGATGATCTGGCCGTCTCCGGCCGCCTTGCTTTTCAAGATACTTTTAAGAAGCGTGCTACGGCCCGCTTCAAGTTCGGCAAGTGGCAGTCTGGCGAGGCCGACTATGCCGGTCGCCATCTCAGACAGTCTAAGGACCGCATCTTTGTGGACCAAGAGAAGTATATCCGGGAACAGCTCACAGTGATGCCGCACGAGCGAGTCCGGCGGGCCTCGCCCGACTCCCTCTTGACCCAGTCTGAGATCGCGTCCTATCGTGCTGTGATTGCCCAGGTGCGGTGGGTGGCCCGGGAATCCCGCCCCGACGTCGCTGGAGGCGCTTCCATTCTCGCTGGTGCTATGCCCTCGCCCACCGTCAGAGACGCCATGACCCTTATGAAGATTTGTAAGTTTCTTAAGGCTCCGGCTGCACAGACGCTGACGATCTGGGCCCTGGATTCCTTGCCCCTTACGTGCGCGACGGCCTCCGATGCCGGAGGCCCTGGGTCAGCCCACCGAGGGGGCGCGCAGGGGGCGTGGTTGGCGATGGCAGCGGACGCCAGCATCCGAGCCAACAAGAGGGCTCGGGTCTCTGTGCTTAGCTGGGAGTCGCAGAGATTGAAGCGAGTTTTAAGTTCCACGGTTGCGGCCGAGACCCTCGCACTCTCGGGCGCAGTGGCCGAGGCCCAGTGGCTGCAGGTTTTGTGGAGGGATGCCGTGTTTGCAGATGTGCATCGCCCTGAGTGGGATCTGGGGGCGCCCCCGTTTGCTGTCGTGCTCTCTCGGGGCTGTGAGTTTGGGGGGAAGGCCAGTTCGCTGGCCATCGTTGACGCTAAGTCGGTTTTTGACATTATTTCCCGAGGCTCGGCCGGATCCCGTGCCGATCGGCGAAACGCTGTGGAGCTGGCCGTTGTGCGAGACGCCATGGCTTGCACGGGGCCCCAGGTCCGTCGGCTCCCTCGCGGGCGAATGCCCGCCGACCCTATGGCCCACAGCGACCCCGCCCGCGGCAATTTGGCTTTGCGCGACCTTCTCTGCCGGGGAACCTTGTGTCTGGCAGGAGAAGGGGGGCGCCTGGACGAACGGGCCTTGAACCAGGCCCTTAAACGCCGTTCACGCGGAGCCTTTAGGAAAGCTCTGTCCGAGGAGGCCGCCCGGAGAAAATGAGAAGAAGAGGGGGGAGATGAGAAAGGAGAAGAGGAAGCCGCGCCCCAGAGGCAAGCGAAGATGACCGCCGCGGGACGCCGAGGCCCTGGAGGAAGAGACGAGAAGAGAGGAGAGGAGGAAGAGGAGGCGGAGGAGGAGGAGGAGGAGGAGGAGGCGGTCCCGGAGGCCCTCCCCCACCGGCAGGACCGCGCGCAGGCAGGCCCCGCCAGTGCCGGCGCCGGGCCGCGGCAGGCGGGGCGCCCGCGCTCCGGCCCAAGGCAGGCGGGACCGTGCTGGCTAGTGTTCGAAGAGACAGCCTCGGCCCCGAAAGTTGGGCCCGCTGTCCCAGAAACCCCCCTTGGGCCCTTCTCCCACTCTTCCCTTGTCCTCTGCTGCTCTCCTATGCGCCCGCAGCCTTTGGCTTTGATCTCGTGAGTTCCTGTGCCGAGCGCAGAGTGCCGATGCATTTCTGTTTCAGCCCCCTCTCCCGATCCCAGTGTCCGTCCGCACCGCCCCCCGAGCCCCATCACAATGGGTGTTCCACTCGTAGTGTATGCTGTTGATGTCGTTGGTCAAGCGCGCAATGGCATCCTGTTGGCGTCTTCCGTCTGGCGATCCTGATCTCATTCCCGCGTGTGGATGCTCAGTCGGCGCGGCGGCCTGCTCATGTAGTGCCCCCATGTGGGGCCCGGTCGGTGCCGCAGCGTTGATAGGCGGCTTGTAGGGCATTTAAATCGGATTCATGTTGCTGCTGCTCGATGTCTTTGACTCGTCGTGTGCGCGTGATGATGTTCTGGGCGGAGGCTTGGAGGGGACCTCCCGGCGGGGTGGCGGGGTCGTCCTGGGTCTGACTCCCACGGGCCCCAGGTTCAGAGGTCAGGTATTCCGTGGGGTCTTGCCTCAGTAGCTGCAGCTGCAAGGGCGTCGCTTCGTGGGGGCGGCGCCTTGGTTGGTGCGATTGGCGTCGGTGGTGCTTTGTATCGCGATCCAACGTTCGGTGTTGCCTTGGCTCCAATGTCGGACTGAGTCGTGGATGCGGATGTTGCCGTTATTCCAGGTCTTGGTCCATGACTTGGTCGTTGGCGTGGGATTGGCGGTGCCCCGCTCTGTAGTCATTGGCGGTCAGGATGGGTGGGGCTGCTTGCCGAGGTCGCCGTCTGTTGGTCGTTGGACGGGTTAATCGTTGGCACGGGTGTTGGTGTTGTTTGGATCTCCGCCATGATCCTCGTCATTTCCTTGGGAACGGTGATGGTGTCGGCTTGGTGCTTAACGATGGCAATGGTGAGGCGTGCACGCTGTCTGTCGGCTTCCACGTCGGCGAGCATCTGGTCGTCGCCGAGTTTTTGCATTTCAGTCTTGAAGCCGTCCACGACGTTCTTGAACCCATGGTCGGCGTGGATTTTGTTGGGTGCTGTCGTCCAGGGTTGACATGTCCAAGGAGCTTGTTTGTGGCAGTGGTGGCCTTACCTTGGGCGCAGGAGGTGGCTGCCGCTGGCCTTGTTCTGCCATTGGTGGGTTTATGATCATGTTGTTGGTGTCGCAAAAGCATCCGTCGTTCTCGGAAGAGGATTCTCGCTTCCATCCGCGTCGAAAGAGGGCGTTGCCAGGGGCGTCTCGTTCCCCCTCGCGGGCCTTGTGGTTGTAGTCGTAGGTCAGACTGTTTCATATCATTGGGTTTGCACCCGCGTGTGCAACCCATGGCCGTTGTCTTGGTAGCTTGTGGTGGGGGGCGAGTGGCAAGCCGGGTGGGAGGTGTTTTGGCTTCCGTGCTTGTGCTAGCGCGTGCTCGTTCCACTGCAGGTCGGTCGGGTGGGTGCATTGGTGGAGGCGGGCAGTTCGGTGGCGGCGGTTCGCTGAGGGTATTGCTGGTTTGGGTGGTGTTAGCGGTCATGGCTCGGTTCGTGGTGCGTTTCATGTCTCTCCGTGCTAGCTGCGCGTGGCGCATGTGGGAGATGATGTCGCTCACGGGCGCCCACTTGGCGAGTCCAGATCGCTCCGGCGTGGCCTCGTAGTCGTTGCCGAGGCCGTTGTCGAAGTTGTTCATCGCATCGGTGGGCATCCTGTCGCGCTCTCGGCGTAGGTCGCTGCTGATTTGGAACGTGAGGTTTTGGATGTCGTCCGCCGTTGTGTTCACGCAGCCGAAGACGAGGATGGTGGTCGTCTCCACCCAGGCGACTGGCTATGGAGGGGACGGCCATACGAGGGTGATGGCCTCGTGGGGGCGGTGTCATGTTGGTAGTAGTGGTGTCCTTCGACGTGGTCTTCGTATGCGACGTCGGCTGGGGGCTCCGGCTCGTGCTTGCGATCTTGGGCCGCTGAGGGTTGCCGTTAGAAGGTTTTCCTGTTTAAATTTGCATCGCTCCTCGATCTTGTTGAAGTGGTTGTTTTCCGAGTGCGTGGGCGTGGCCGTTCTTCTCTGTCTCTCCCCCTCCTTTTCCTGTTCCTATTCCTCCTCTTTCTCCTCCGTAGCCGTTTTGGCTCGAGATGCAAGGTCCCCAGCAGGGGTGTCGCAGGTCCGCGGCTAGACCCCTGTTCCCTTCGGATGTCTGCCCAGTTCTGGACCCTAACGCAAGTGTGTTTGGTCGTTTTTTGCAGCCAGCCCAGCTGGCACTGTCCGGCGAGAGTAAGATGCTGCATTTCCAGCTCCTTCCCCAGCCAGCGCCGACGCCCGAGAAGTCCAAGAAGGACAGGACGAGCAATAAGGTTGGCAAGGATGCTGCAACTCCTCGGATCAGCGACAGCGACGGCCGCGCGTTTGAGGTCACCGCTGGGGAACTAACTCCTCCTGCGACACCGCGGCCAGCGACCAGCAAGCGGGCGCGCAAGCATCGCGGCGCAGGGAGCGACGCGGGCTATGCCGGGCGAAGATCGCGGAGCGAGCAGGGCTCTCGTTCGCCCAGTGCTGACCGCCAATTTCGATTTCGTGACCGAAGAGCTGAAGCAGATGGCTGCGTTCTCGCTGCCGACGAGGATGACTCCGCCTTCGTGTCCGCGCCCTTCGAAGCCCTGGCCCTGGCCTCGCCTTCCCCGCAGGAAGTAGCAGCTCATTCAGTTCCCGTCGGAGGAGGTGGCGGTTCTACGACCTGCGCCCCCCAACCAACCCCATAGCCCTTGCCGCCCGTTGCTGGTGCTGGGGGAGCCCAGAGCCATCGTCTCGCTAGTCGTTGGCGCGGGCCTCAGGTGAGGCGGCCGCGCGGTGGAACAACTGACCCATGGGCCCGAGACATCGCGCGCGGTCTCTCTGCTCAGATACGGGATGCGCTGGGAAACAGCGTCAAGACAGTTGATCGCGATGAGATGGTTGCCGCTGTCGGTGAGAACATGCCCCTCGTCGCCCCCCAATGCGATGTTACCGACCGATGGTCCGAAAGTTTGAAAAGCAGATCCAGGCGCAGCTCTCGCAACGTGCCCGGCGGACCGGCGCAGTGGAGTCCGACGCGGCTGGCGCCCGCAGAATCCGGGCCTCGCACGGGGAGAGACTCAAGGCGCTCGAGCAGGGGTTGGAATTGTTCTCTCTGGCAGGAAAGAGGCGCTGGAGGGTGCAGTTCGCGCGCTCGTCTGTTTTCGAATTCTAAACGCTTCGCGCATCCCCGCCAGCCCGTCCAGAACTGAGCCCCAGGGGAGTGGAGGCGACGAGGGGGGCGGGGGGGCATGCAGAAGAACAAAGTGAGAGTTTGAGCATGCGTAAAACGTAGGGTTTCAGGGAGTAAGGGTCTGGCGAGGGGGAAGGGTCTCTCTTGCTCTCCGTCCCTGTCCCCCTCCGCGGCTCATTGGGGCTCAAGTTTCCTCCTCGGGCCCTTGAGGGGGCGATCCGCGCGGGGGAGCGCGGCCGGCCCCGCGGACCAGTGTCCGCACAGGGGCCGAGAGCCATGGGGAGGCGAGGAGGAAGGTGCGAGGCTGCACCAGCCCAGTGCCCGCAGGCGCTGGCCGGAGGCAGCGCAGCCGAGTGTACATGATGGCGTTGTTGCCGATGCTCATCGGAGCTGTGGCAGCCGTCGAGATTGGCCGCAGATGGCGAGCGCAGCCGGCGACGCCGGCTCTGCCGCCGGCGGCCCGCGCCGCGGACAGGACGCTGCCCGCCGACGCCGTGACGGCCGACGGAGGGGCGTACGCGCCTCTGCTGCGGGCGCTGGAGGAGGACCAGCGGCGCCGCGGCGCGGCGGCGGCTACGGAGGTGCCGCAACGCCATGGCTTTCCCCCCGCTGGGCCCGCGCCCAACGCCGGGAAGGGGCGAGGAGCGCCCACGGGGCCAGCAGTGACCCCGCCACGTGGTGGTAAGGGGCGGCAGCAGCCCGCGGCGACGTCAGCCGCAGCCCAGCCCCCTCTTGCGGCTCCACCCACATCTGCAGATGGAGGAGATGAGGAGAGCTCACGGCGGCGTGGGAGCGGGATGTGGAGCTGGCTCGCGGGCCGCCGGCGCGACCCTCCGCCGCGGCGGAGCCCCGAGGACCCTGGCGGCCCAGACGCAGGAGAGGAGGAGGTGCGAGGCTGGTTCAGCTTTGGGGGAGTCAAGTTCGGAGTGAGCTGGCTCGGAGGTTGGATCACGGACTTGCCGCCAACGGAGATACAGTGGGCAGATCTGATGTGGGGCGGTGGCGGCCTGGTCGGGAGTGGGCTCAGCACGGTGGGCTACGCGGCATTCGGCACAGGTTGGCCTTTATTGTGCTGGACCACATTTGCAGGACTGATCGTGGCGCTCGTCATCGGTTTGGGATACGGCTTACACTCCATCGCCTCGGCGGTCGACGTGTTAGTCTGCGCGCCACTCCGTTGCCTGGGACGGGCGCTGGGACTGTGCTGTCCGACCTCGAAGCCACAAGTCACAGCCGCCGAGGAAGGAGTGGTACCAGAGCTCAGGGGACCAGCCACCGCCATTGCTGTGGAGAACGAGTTCTACGCCCAGCTCCGCGCAAAGGGGGCCGACAAGGTGCCGCATCACCTGATCATCAAGGTGGGCGACGCCGCCGCGAGGCTGGAGGGGCCACCTTTGAATACTGGGATTAAGTATAAGAAGGCAGGAGTGGCATGGCCGTACCGCGAAGTGCTCGCTACCACGTCAAGGCGACTGCGCGACCTGCTGGAGGACTCCCAGGACAAGGTGGTGCACCTGTGCAGAGACACGCCCTGCACGGACGAAGGCAACTACGCGGTGCATGCCCCGGCGTACGGGTACGTGACAGCTGAGACGGACACCAACTTGGAGGCGCTGGTGGAGGCGGCGCCGAAGCCTTGTTGGG